TAATCAGACAGGATGATATATTGTGTGCCGTCATCACGTCTATGTTTCTAAAATCGGTCATTGTTCCGTTCTCAACGAATSTTCCCTCGGGGTTATTSCAGCAGTCACGGTACGTATAGACCGGACGATCACCGTACCGTAGAGTTAGACATGTTTCCGGTTTTAATTAAAAACCTTGTAGAAAGGTTTGATTGATGCCATCTATATATTATTTTTCTTGAGAGAGAAGCACGTCTTTGTCGTCTGTCAATATCTATTTTGCACGTTTTGTTTAGAGATCTSTTCAACTTGATAAAGCGTGGAACGTGCTCAATTAAACTGGATTCTTGCCGCGCCAGACGATGAGGGATTCATTTCTCGTCGTTTATAGTTTTTAAAGATCAACAGTTCGTTTATATGAGACTSYCGTCTATGGTGGAGTCAGACAGTGGGGTTGAGTGGGTGGGGCCTCTTTTTGAGTTAAAAATTCTTGTCGTAGTTTATCACGCAAAAGAAATCCTCTTATGTCTATATTAATGTCGTTAATCAGTTCTACATGCCTATTTCCCGCCATTGACCATGAATCGTTTACTGTTTGTTATGATTCAGATTGTTGGATCGAGTACATTGGTTTCGAGCTTCAGGAAGGAAGAATGGAGAGTGCCGGTAAGCTTCATTGGAGAGCCATAAAAACCCTGACAGGAARMGAATTGGAAGCTTTTGTTGCAAAATATTCTTTACTACAAGCGGGCCACGAAACATTTGTGAATTGATGGCATCAGGTTTTCCTCTTAATGAAATTAAGCTATCAATTTTATTGGTTATTGAGGCCATTAATCATAAATAAAGTAGAAGTATCAATGACTCTCGGTGGTCCTATGCTGTAGGTCAGTGAAAAGTCTCTACACTCAGATGCATGGGAAGTTTGCAATAAAACTATATTTGCTTATTGTATTTGTTCCTGTAAGTTCGCTAGTCTATGTATTTACGTGATAACCTGTACGACAATCCTATTGATACAGTTATGTGATAAGGACGTGATAAGGTTTCTCGGACTCTTTAGTCTACTTTTGTTGTCTCGCCGGGTTTAAATCACCCCCAAGACTGTTTTGAACCATGCCGCCTGCAGCATTCCAAAAGTACTTGTCGTGTGTAAGAGGAAGAGATTAATTACGCTATATATTGGTGACACGATTGCGGCAAAAGACAGTCAGTTTAAGATGAGGAACGCTGTGGTCGTGTGTGTCCTGCTCGTTGTTTTACCAGTTCAGGGAGTGATATTATCGAAGAGACTCCCCGACTCAGCTGGTCTTTTACAGCAAGTTAAAATCAAAGTCCAACCAAAGGAACTCATGGACGAGTGTCTGAATTGCCAACCATCGCCCGCTGCACACGACATGATTGTTCACAATCTCAAAAAGATAATAGGCCGAAGAATGGATCTTACCGTCGTCTCCATAACAAAACCGAGGGACTTTACGACTTCAAAGCTCATCAAATACACTGACAACCGTCAGTCAAAGACCCGGAAAATGTTCCTAAAACACTTTGTGGACATAAAGAGCAAAAGCATGATCAAAATGACTGCTCTAACGAACCGCCAGAGAACACTTCTTGTTGACTGGTTAGAGGAACAATCCAACTGCCCCATGAAGCTAATGTGGAGAGATATGGGACCGCACTTCTGGCCACGTTATGTAAAGGTTAGTAATGGAGGTCAATACACGATGCAATCGCGGTTTATTATAGTTATGTTTATTTAATTATCGGAAACAAAAACCGATCTTATCAAGTAATCCTTATTGTTTTCTTGAAATAAATGTTCGTGTTTCCGATTTACAATCGATTGCCATAAATCGAAATCATTTTAAGTTAATTTGTCTTGTTTTTATATTTTCTTTTCCCGCAGCGGGCCCATTGTGTTGGCAAGTCTTGTTCTGTTGATCCTGGAATGAAATGCACTGCTTCAGCGAGTCGCTTTTTTCCTCTTCTGCGCTGGTTCTGTATTGGCGCATTCCGTAAGAACAATCTGCCGCTTTGGGCTGGCAAGGGCTTCGTAGAGAGAAATGGTTACATCTGTAGATGGGTCAAGTTTCCGTATCCAATCACAACAAAGTGCTCATGTAAATGTGCTTCTTAATTATGCAAGACAAAACGTCTGCATGGATATCGTCCACCCCAGATGGTTACACTTTTTTCCTATTTAAATGACTTGTTTTCTTCAATTCCTTGATAAACGACATGAGATGTTTGTTTGTTTTACCTGTTTGCAGCATACTATGAATAGTGCGAATTGTAGTGCATTGTATTCCAGCACTTTCTGATATATTATGCTCTGCTATTCTGCTGGTTATGTCTCGCATCAGCAAATTAATAACAATGTAAATATATATTACAACAGTATCTATAAATTATTGTATCAATAAATGCAGTTTGTATTATTATATTATTATTATTTGCAAACGTTCTAAACTCTAATATATATTTAACAAATAAATAAGGCTCAGCCGTGGTTTTCAGCTCGTGCTTCTTGACATTTTCTCGTGTGTTTCAAATGTCAAGCGTGCGTTTATCAGAGTATAAACCACAGGCTGAGACTTATTTATTTGTTTTATTATATAGATTTTGAGCAAAACTTCAGCAAAAATCCATTTTGTTACCTTTTTCAAAAATCGCTCGAGCACAATCGTGGTTTATACTATCATAAACCACACTTTTTTGGCCAATCAGAGCGCGCGTTAGAATTCATCTATATAATATCACTATAAATAGAGCACGCGAGGAATTGTCACATCAAATCAGTGTATTGTTTTGACCCGGATTATGCAATGTTTAAAGTCCAATATTTTTCCACGAGTCTGAGACGTCAGCCAAGGACTGGAACGACCCAGTCCGTCGAGGACTGTGAACGACTTCTCCAACTTATTGTCGGGAAGACAAAAGTGCGAAGGAAATAGTTGCATAGAAAATAGATTTGCTTTCTGCTCGTTTCTTTGAAGACATTAAGCACCTTGTTTCAATATGACGTCACACCAAATCATTGTATCGTTATGGCGCTAGGAATTGTTGCAATTATTCCACGTCACATCCACAGGAAGACCATCCCTTACATTTTCAACAGAAAATAAACTGCGCAGGATTTATTTGATTCATCAGCGGGCGCGCTTGGTATTTGTTGATTACCTGTTGTAAGATCTCGTTTCTTGCGGGTTGTACGAGATAAGTTGCAGTATCCTTCAAGCAAACATTAAGCATCAATATTATGAATTAAAGGCCCAGTGTGTACCATTATGCTTTGGGGGCCGCGAGGGCCAGGAGGCGGCCATTTTCAGTTTACCGAAAGTCTATAAATTGTACTGTGTGTTTCAAATCTTTGACCATCTCACTTTTCTAAGCACTTTAAACGCTGATATTAGAGTTTTGAACCATCTGAAATTCGTTTTATGGTGATATTTGGATACTAGAAGTATTTTGGTGTAAATCATAACAATAACAGAGGCGCGCAAAGCATAATGGTGCAAACTGGGCCTTTAATAAAATACAATGAAAATACAGAAAAGATTGCATGATATTTTAATAGCTTACAAGGAGTGGGCTGCCTGTGGTCACACCAAATCGTTGTGCCGAATGCCTAATTCCACACAAGGTCAGTATGTTGTGATGCCTTAGTGAAAGAAGCGAGCATTTTGAAAGAATACAACTTTTTTCTATATGTGTTTCGACCTTTATTGCGCTGCTGTACTCTATTTCAACCCTTGATTTGCTTGAAGGATATTTGTAATCTAAGAAATTAATAATAATCTCCGTTATGTTACAGTTCCTCTTTGAAAAACAGCATTCTCACATTGTAAAAATGATTTTTTTAATACAAAAGAGTTCAAGGACATTTCTGTATATTTATTGAGTTGTCATTATTTATGTGGGGGGCGGGGAGATATATTATGGGCTATGTCCAAGTCCTTGAGACTCGTAGAAAATATTTATTGAATTGTTGCGACTAGTTGGTTTTGTATGATCAACAAGTAGGTGATCCCATTCATCAGAAAATTGCAGTGAATTGCTTTTCAAATATTCTTGGCAAAATATTTGAATCAAGCGTGGCTTCTAAGTTTCAGTTGCACCATTACATTTCAAGCTGAGGTCATTTACAAGTTGTCATGACGAACAAATACACTTATCTTTTAGTTTTCTCTATTTTAGATTTAGGTTATTTTTCAGCAGTTGTATATATTTTGTGATTCTAAGGTGACAAATATATTTTTTCAACAGTACAGGCAACTCGGATTTCTATTGGATGCACAATTTAATTTAACTTGGTATTTCAAAGTATTTTTAAATAAGCTCGTAGAGTACAAACACTTAAACTGTGCAACATAGATACCACTAAATACTGCTAAATTATGCTAATTCTATTGTT